CATGAACTCGGCTTGACTTCAACAAATATAGTGATAATGATAGTGTTAAAAAACAAAGATTAAATAATAACCCTCATAATTACAATAGTTATTATTGACGAAGTAATAATGACTAATGACTGTTACCATCACTATTAATATAAATTGAAAAACTAAAGCGTCAAGAAATGAAACCAACTGAAGATGCGAATAACTGAAGGATTAAACAACACTGAATATTATTTCAGAACTGAATATTATTTCAAAAAATATTCGTATGTGAAAATTCGAAGTATGCATATTATCTGGATTGGCCAGGCTGTGAAGTATGCATATGGGCAACTTAAAATACATATGGGCAACTTAACTTAGAAATTAACAGATAAATCACTCATAATCATTTGCTCTTCTCATCTCATGTTTAACTTGATCCAAAAGAGTTTCAACTTGTTTCATTAAACTAATCAACTGCGAATCAAAATGTGATTTCACCGAATTTGGTTACTGCTAATCAAATCAGAACAACGCAAAGGNATCAACTGCGAATCAAAATGTGATTTCACCGAATTTGGTTACTGCTAATCAAATCAGAACAACGCAAAGGCCATTCAATCCGTCAATTAATCAGAGTTAACGATTGCAACCGCCCTGTTTACAACAACCATCGTCTCGAAACATATCAAAGTCAAGTTGAGGATGAACATGACGTTTCTTATCATCGCCTTCTTTTGATTTCGGTGGCACTCCATCAGCAAATTTATGCTGTGAATGCCACAATTCTGCATACCGACTACCCGGTTTCATCAACAGCTCAAAATGTGAGCCGCTTTCCAATACCTGAAAATGGAAAGAAACAAAATGCAAACAGTGATTAGGATCAATGATCCAAATTTTGCAAAATACCAGCGTTATTTTGAACGCAAAAACTTTGAAATAAAACTAATTTCTGATACTGACTTCCCCTAACAATAAGTTTATATACCAATCAAGCCTTAACAAATCAACAATGTTCTAAACTTTTAAAAATTAATAGAAACACGCCAAACAGTG